GTTAGGATCTCGCAGCTCGCAGCGCATGGTGCATATGGTATAGTGCAATCAAAGGATAAAAATTGGGATATTCCTTACAATAAAAGTTTCGTAGAAACTAGAAAGTTCGTTAGATATTCTCAAAAAATCTTCCCAAGATTCCTACAGTTGGACTTTCCTCAATATGACTACCAGGGAACTGAGCACGGTCTCTCGGAAGACCATCCCTATCTCTACCGTCGTCAGAGGAAGTCGGTCTCTATCCCTACCATCGTCCCCACAGCTCATTGGGCGACACCAAATCCAAGTGCCAGGGCCATTTGATTTTGAATTAGAGTGCATGGCGCATACCGGAAAGGAGGACGAGCGCATAATGCCACGCCACTTTTTCTTTTCTCCATTCTCTCATCTTTTAGTGGGGTAGTTCTACACAAATGGTGTAAACAATTATTGGCATATGCATATTCGCACGCGGCACCTACACTGAGAATTTGGGCCTCTGCAGAATTTATCTGGTAAATGATACCAATTTTCAGGAAGTGTTCCAACAGTTGTACCCCTTTCAGGTGTCTCTCAATGTCACGCTTTTCTCTGATTTCCCACACACACGCAAGGTCATCGACTGCCTGAGTTTCCCTTATGCGCCTCATCTATGTATTCGTAAGGTCTTTTTGAGAAACCTACTATCGAAGGGCTATGAATACTGCTACGTTACACTCATTCACTTACATTTATAGAGGTGAAAAAATGCCATGAGGAACCCACCTTTATACCTTCTATCTCCTTGTTGAGTAGCGCTCTGAGGCCTTGATTCGCTTTCGAATAGAAACGACTGCTGGTACGAGCGAACATCGCGCACTAATGCGCCGTCGAAACCCACGCGCTACAGTGGACGTGCATTGATTGAAAGACGGAGGACTGATCGAAGATGAGACTTCTTCGGTCCATTTCACACGTTTACGACATTGAAACCAATGTCCTCACGGCTCGGCCTGATCCCTGATAGGACAACAGAATGTCACTTGGATCACAAAGAAAGTAATAGTGGGTGGGGTAGAACTGGGTTCAGTAGCGCCATCGACACCATCAGAGGCGAAGGGAAGGAGACCCGTATGTCTGAAATCGACCAGACGTCACGGTTGCGTTACACTGATGTTTTAGAACTTGGGCTGAGATCCTCGATGTCTGTCGAAAAGATGGCTGATAGAAGTAGATCGATAGTA